TGGGTTTTTTTTTTTTTTTTTTGCTATAGGGCACATGCGCTCGCCAGACAGACAGAGAGAGACAGAGAGATAGAAAGTGAGAAATCACACCCCCCCCAGAGGGGATGGCCACGCCGCAATCCCTTCACCTCCATTCTCCTCTTGGGACTTTGGGCACGTACGCACACGCGCCCGGTGTGAGTTTAAGCCACCGGGTCTGGAACTCGAACCACCATCAACTATGTGGGAGTCCAGCGACAGCCATTATGCTAACTGCTGGTCCCAATACACTGAGTCTTTCTTAAGGCTTAAACTAAGCACTTCCATTTCTGTGAAGAATATCTTAGTTATTATATATTAATTAAATTAAATTAATATATTCATATCTCCTCAATTAATTAGCAGCTGACCCCTGCTGTGATGCAACTCATGTTGATGCAGAATCCCAACTGGGGGCAAATGGGCCGTCCCTTTGCCCACTTGTTTGCCCTTTCTATCTCCCTGCTTTCCCCATGCTGCCACGGTCAGCCTGTTTTCATGTCTATGCCTGGAAGGTGACACTCATCTGGATCTGCATAAAGTAAAGAGGATACTCTAAGCCTCTAAATTCATTTTAATGACATTATATTTTAACTTTTCTGAGCTATATGATGTTGATGATAGCAGAAACGTATGTAGTGCTTGTTGTATGCAAGGAGATGCTCTGGATGTTTTGCATATACTATGTCTGATCCTAACTAGTATTCAAAATTACTTGAACGTATTTGTCTTTGCAGCCTCTTGCAGTCATCGTGTGCCCTGGGTGGAAAAAGGCCCAATTTATTTTTGAATTGTTGGGAGATTATAGCATATTCTCCAGACCTCTTCATCCTGTGTTATTAACAATTGGACTACACAAAGATGAAGCCAGAAATACGAAAATTCCAAGAGCATGTAAGCATACTTTCCAAGCTGTTTAATTTTCCCTTCAGAAGACAGTAGAACCCTGCCCAAGCACGCCGGAGATCCGCAGATGACACGGCTTGTGTGAGGAGGTGGTTCGTGGTCACTAGGCCAGACTGGACTCAGTGGTTGCTGATGGTTATTGATTACGACAGTTTGATCTTAACCTAGATCTGTTTCTTTTAAAAAACTCTATGATTTCATTCATTTATCACCTGCTTGCCGAATATCATCTGTTTGTTAGATGCTGGACACACAGTGTCAACTAAAACCCTCTCTACCTTTCAGGAGTGCATAACCTGCGGGAGCCCAGGGATTTAATCAAGTCATGTCAGGGGCTATACCCGGCAGGCAGGAGTTTTGCCTCACTCATCTAGCTGAAAAGAAAAAAACAGTGTTTTGGGACCAGCAGTTGGTGTAATAGCTATGTCACTGGACTCCCATGTAGTCAACCACAGTTCGATTCCTGAACCCGGTGGCTTAAACTCATGCCAGGTGCATGTGCGTGCGTGCCCAAGATCTTGAGAGGAGAATGAAGGAGAAGGGATTGTAGCATTGGCCATCCCCTATGGGGGGGGGGCAATTTCTCACTTTCTGTCTCTCTGGTGAGCGCACGTATCCTAAAGCAAAAAGCTCTCCAAAAAAAAAAATAAGGTGTTTTGTCTTAAGTAGAAGGCATTTCTAGAAAGTATATAGAATCTTGGCAAAAGAAATGTTAGAAAACCTGTGGAGAATCTAAGATGTTCATTGTTTTTTTCTTTTAAAATGTAGGTGATGTGATTGTTACAACACCACATAGCCTCCTGCGACTTTTCACATATCAAAGCTTATTGTTTCTTAGACTCTGTCACCTGATTTTGGATGAGGTGGAAGTATTATTCTTTGAAGCAAGTGAACAAGTATGTATGATATCCACTGAGATGTAATTATTGTTTAAAATATATACATAAATGTACATACATACATAAACACACATTTCTCAAATATATATAATTAAAACCTTAACTGCTGGGCCAACAGGTGGCATGGTGGCTGAGGCACTAGACTCTTACATGGCTGATGCAATTTGAGTCCCTGACCTAGTGGCTTGCTTTCTCACTTTCCCTTTTTCTTGCTCTCTCTGGTCGAATTTAAAAAATAGTAACAAATGGAATTCAATGAATAAATAATTCTTTGGGAAAAAAAAAAGGAAACCTTAACTGCTTTCAGGAATCAAGAAAGTATCTAGTTCGGAAATACCTTGGTTAATCTAAACATTTTTTTCCCTTTAATTTCTATAATTAAGAGAAAATATTTATCTGGAATTGTCTTCCCAGTGTTAAAGTTCCCTTTGAAGAGCAAAAGTTTCTTCCCATGGAAATTTTCTAAAGTTTTAAAAATAGTTATTCTTGTGATTTCTTATTTACATGACTTTCGTCCATCTTTGTGGGATATGGTGTGATTTTTCTAAGCATGTGTACAATGTATACTAATCAAATCTAGGATATAAACATATTCACCATCTTCAACATGGAACATTACATTATGTAATGCATGTTGGAAATTTGCACTACGGGTTTTTTGAAGTATTTATTAAATTGTCAATGACATTCTTTACCGTGGTACACCTTTCCATAACCTATTCTATTTGATTTCATCCACTTTTGTGACCGTTAACTAATTACTCTCAATCTGCCCCCTTCCAGCTTCTAGCATCTACCATAGTTCTCGCTAACTCTATGCTGTGGAGTCCTTTGGTTTCCATTAGTGGGTGAGGACCTTTGGTACATGTTAAGCTGGGACATACAGTATTTGTCTTTCATAGCCTGACTTATTTCACTTAGCATTATATCTTCGAGGTTCATCCCTTTGTCCCAAATTCATCGTTCTTTATGGCTGAGTCGTAATCCACCGTATGGACTACCATATTTTCTTTATCCATTTTATCAGTTTGGGGGCATATAGGTTGATTCCTTGACTTAGCTACCATGAATAATGCCGCAGTAAACAAGGATATGCAAATGTTTCTCTAATAGATTGATTTCCTGTTCTTTGGGTATATACCAAATAGTGAGATTACTGGGTCAAAAGGTAGTTTTATTTTTAGATTCTTGAGGAACCTTCATACTGTTTTCCACAGTAGCTGTACTAGCCACTGATAATTGTTGCCACTAACAGTGTATAAGGGTTCCTCTTTCTCTGAAGCCTTGCCAATACTTATTGTTCTTTATATTTTTGAATTGTTTGAAAATATTTTCTCTTAAGACCAGCAGCTGGTGTAATGGTTATGTCACTGGACTCCCACATAGTTGACTGTGATTCAAGTCTAAACCTGGCGGTTTAAGACTCACACCGGGTGCATGTGCATGTATGCCCAAAATTCTGAGAGGAGAATGGAGGAGATGGGATTGCAGTGTGGCCATCTTCCCACAGGGATGATTTCTTGCTTTCTGTCTCTCTGTCTCTGCCCTTCTGGTGAGCGCAAACACCTCTGTAAAAAAAAAAAAAAAAAAAAAACAATATTTTCTCTTATTCTGTGGGTTGTCTCTTTACTCTGTATATTGTTTCCTTTGTTGTGAAGGAGCTTTCTAGCTTAGGTAATCTCACATGTCTATTTTTGATGGTGGTGTAATTTAGGATTTTTATTTTAAGAAATTTTTGCTAGAGCTAGCCTGGTAACCTAATGGTTAAAGGAACCACATCCCACATGGCCAACTGTGATTTGGATCCTGGCCCTGGCAGCTTGAAGCAATGGAGGATGAAGCAATGGAGGAGCTGTGACCTGACCATGACTCATTGTGGGTACTTTCTCTCACTCTTTGTCTTTCTCTCTCTGTATATTTCAGTCTTTCTCTGATGAGCACAGGCAACCTTTAGCAATTTTTTAAAAAAGTCTTAAAAAATAGGGACCAGCAGAAAAAAATATAAAAAATCAAAAGATCTTTGCCTAAATCAGTATCTTCAAATATTTCCCCTGTTCTTTCTTCAGCTATTTTTCTGATTTGTGATTTTTACATTTAAGTCTTTAATCCATTTTGAGTTAATTTTTATAAATGGCAAGAGAAAGGGGTCTAGTTTCATTCTTCTTTAAATGAACATATGTTTTTCCAGAACCATTTATTGAAGAAACTGTCTTTTCCCTACTGAATTGTCTTGGGACCTTTGTCAAAACAGTTGGCTGTATGTTGCTGGGTTTATTTCTGCGTTTTCTGTTCTGTTCCTTTGGTCTCTGTGTCTTGTTTTTGATCCAGTACCTTGTTATTTTGACTATTGTGGCTTTGTAATGTATTTTGAAGTCCGATAATTGTGATACCTCCAGCTTTATTCTTTTTACCCAGTATTGCTTTAGAAATTCAGGGTCTTATGATTCCAAACAATTTTTTTTTTCTATTTCTGCTAAAATAGAAAAATTTCAGAAGAATAAAAAGAATATTTTTTTTCTTTAAAATAAGAATTACATCAGATTTGTAGATGACTTTGGGAAGTTATTAACATTTTAATTGTATTGATTCTTTGAATCCATGAACAAGTGATATCTTGTTTTTAGTGTGTCTTTTTAATTCATTTCCTCAGTGTTTTATAGTTTTCATTGTAGAGGTCTTTTACTTCCTTTATTAAATTAATTCCTAGGTATTTTCTTTTCTTTGGTGACTATTATAAATGGAATTGATTTATTTATTTCTGTCTCTGTTTATTGTCAGTGTACAAAACTGCTACTGTTCTTTGGTATGTCAGTTTTGTATCCTAGAACTTTACTGAATTCATTTTTCACCTGTGAGGGTTTTTTTGGTAGAGTTTTTATGTTTTTGTATATAAGTGGTTGTGTCATATGCAAATAAGAACAGTTTAACTTCTTCCTTTCCTATTTAAATGCCTTTTATTTCATTCACTTACCTGATTACATTGGCTAGGATTTCCAGTACTGTGTTGAATAGGAGTGGAGAAAGTAGACATCCTTTTCTTGTTCCTATTATAAGAGGAAAAACTTTTCCTATTTAGAATGACGTTAGCTGTAAGTTTTTCTTATGGCCTTTCTTGTGTTAAGAAATATTCTTTCTGGAGCTGGCAGGTGACATAGTGGTTAAGTGTGTACTCCTACATGGCTGACTGTGGTTTGAGTCCTGGGCCTAGCGGCTTGCTTTTTTCACTACCCCCCACCCCCATCCTTCTCTGGTCAAATTAAAATAAATAAATAAAGTTAAATAAAATAATTCTTAAAAAAAATAAATATTCTTCTATATTTGTTATATTGAGTCTTAATCATGAAGGAATGTTGTGTTTTATCAAATGTTTTTCTGTGTCAATTGATAGAGCTTTTGTCTTTGTTAGTGTAATATATTGCATTTATTGTTTTGTGAATGTTGAACTATTTTTGCATCCCTGGGATGAATTCTACTTGATCATGTTGTATAATCTTTTTGATATATTATGGGTCTGACTTTTTAATATTTTAAGGATTATTGCATCTGTCTTCATTAGGGATATTGGTCTGTAGTTTTTTTCTTGTCTGTGTCAGCTTTTGATGGTGGCATCATAAAATGGATTTGGAAGGTTTCCTTCTATTTGAATATTTTAGACTAGTTTGATGTTGAGTTCTGTTGACTTTTTAAAAGATTTGTAGAATTCAACTGTGAAACCATCTGGATCTAAGCTTTTCTTTGTTGGGAAACTTTATTACTGATTCAGTCTTGTTACTTGTAATTGATCCCTTCAGGCTTTCTGTTTCTTCCTGGTTTAATCTAGGTATAATGTATGTGTCCAGAAATTTGTATATCTCCTTTAGGTTTTCTAGCATATAATCATTCATATTAATCCCTGTAATGTCTGTTCTAATGTAACCTTTTTTATTTCTGATTTCGTTTATCTGGTCTTTTATTTTTCTTAAGTTAGTTAGTCTAATAGTTAATTTTTTTATCCTCTCAAAAAACTAGCTTTTGTTTCATCGATATTTATTTCTGTTCTGATTTTTTTATTTCTCCCTTTTTATTTTTGGGTTTATTTTAGTCTTGCTTTTCCATTCTTTCAGTCACTAGGGTGTTTATTTGCCATCTTTCTATTTTGTTGTTGTGGACACTTACCTTTTAGTACTGCTTTCATAGTATCCCAAAGATTTCAAAGTGTTATGTTTTCATTATCATTTGTCTAAGAAATTTTAGAATTTCTTAATTTTTTTAGTAGTTCCAAAATTGTTTAGGGGTATACTGTTTAGTTTCCATCTATATCCATCTATATATTTAAATTTATTATTATTTTAAAATTTGCTCTAGGGGCCATGTACTCACCAGAGAGAGACAGAGGGAGATGGGAAATGAGAAAGCAAGTTGCAGGTCCAGGACTCAAACCACAGTCAACCATGTGGGAGTCCAACATCCTATCCACTATGCCATGGATCTATTTGAATATTTTCAGTAGTTCTTTTTGTTATTGATTTTTAGTTTCATTCCACTGTGGTTGGAAACAATACTAGATATGATTTATATTTTTCTTTTTAATTTGTAGAGGCTTATTTTGTACTTTGTTATGTGCTCTATCCTAGAGAATATCTTATGTATAGGTGAAAAGAGTGTATATTCTGTAGTTGTTGGGTGAAATGTTATATAAAAGTTGTAAATATCCATTTAATCCACTTGGCTTATGGTATAGTTTAACTCCAGTATCACGTTGTTTGTTTTGTATACATGATGTCGACGGAAAAAATATAACCAACTGCAAAATTAATAATTAATAATTAATGCGGTTTATTTCCAAGCCAACTGTGAGTGACCTAGGCCCGGAGAAGAGGCACACATGCCTTTTTCTCGGGGTGATCATGTACATAGGTTCCTTTTATTTGCTTTTGAGATTGACACACAACATTTAATTAAAAAATTTCCCATTGGTCTGGCCCAAAAAGGCGGGACATGTAGAAGGGGGGGGGCTTGTAGGTTATAGGTGGGTTCCACAAATTCTTAGGTCCGAGATTGGAAGGGAAAATCCCTGTCTTAGTTAAAGAAAGGCTTAATCTACATCTCAAGGAAAAGGGAAGTTCTGTGTCTTGGGAAGGCATAACCAAAAGAATACACCAATCAGTTGAAATATACATCTCAAAGATACTATGCCAGGGACAGGAGGTAGGAAGAATCCTGTTAATAGAAAGTAAATGGTCTGTTAATGTTTGTGGGCATGACTTCCCCAGTCCCCTTTTGAAAAGATTTTGGAAAAATAGGAAAAGTAGTCAGACTTCTGTCCACAGTCCCCCCTGTTGGCCAAAAATCATTCCTCTGAATGCATGTGTAGGCCACAAAATTGACAGGTCCCACGGTGCTAGGGAGACTCATCCCTAGGGGTCAGGTCCACGGTGCTAGGATGCTCATCCTAGGATTCAGGTCCCATGGTTACAGGCAGTGGAGTTCTGGGGGAAAGACATGTCTGACACAATAGTCACTTGTCTCTGGATGAAGGAAAAATCAGGCCTAAAAGTTCATTTGGGGA